TTTTCACCTCTGAGGAGCGCATCTATATCCTGCCGGGCAGCTGGTGGCAGGGGTATATAAACGTTAAATATTTCGAGCTCGACATCGCCTGACCGGATAGCGATTCCCTGACATTCTAGGATGGTATCCCTGCGGTCAATGTCTACTTCGATAAGACGATACAGCACGGTGTGGTGCGTGATGAACACTAGGCCACCAACATTATCTCGCTCGCGATCTCAACGGTGCATGTTGTATCCGGCGCAGTTCAACAGTGTTGAATTGCCGTGCAGCTCCGTCTCTCATGAAGACTGTTATATCCTCGATCTTGCTCTGAAGTCCGTCACAGTTGAATTGTAAAATCTTCGTGTGCCTACGGAGACTTATTGGAATGTGGGGTGCTAGTGATGTGTGTTGCCCGGTCGCCACATGCTATGCTTGCTGATACTGAGGCTGTTGCCCTGTGGTGTTTGTTGTTGTTGTAGCGGCTACAACAACCCCGCATAGATCGGTTGATATCTCAGTCGTTGTCGTCAAGTTCCACTAACGGCAGCCCTAGGAAGCGTGCAGCCTTTATCGGGTCGGTCCACAGGGACAAAGCCGTTAGGGTTGTCGGCTTTTCCGGGCATGCGAAGAGATGTTTCGAGTCATGTGGGGTCCCTCCGCATGCCGGACACTGATTTGGCACATCATCATTCAATCTACCCAGGTATGAGTTTTACCTACTGTAGTAGCCAGAGAGAAGTTGGGCTATTGTTGTTCGTGTTTACCGAGGCAGATGAAGCTCCGTCTCGTCTATGTCCGGTTGTGGTGTGCCTAGAACGGCACTCACAGGTCTAGAGTCTACATAACTCGAGACTGACTCCCTGTGAATGCCGTTCAGGGCCAGTCGGTAAGCTGACGGGTCCAGAAGCTGCTTGACGAACCTCTGGACTTCGTCCGTCATTTCATCTAGATGCCTCCTGACGTGCCTAGGCGAGGGCTCCTCTGCGAGCAGCTGTCTGCTCGGGTGGCCACTTCTGTGGCTCCGGATCAGGAACTGCTTGCAGAGCATTATGTTGTGCACCTTTATAGGGAGCATTTGTGCCTCGTTGTGGAGGTGATGTTCTGGCGACATCAGGAGGCATCCTGTCGCTGTCCTGAGTGCGGTGCTCTGTACAGTCTGTAGCTTCGTCCACTGCGTCCAACTAGTCCCCGGCGACCACACTGGCGCTGCGTAGTTTAAAACCGGCCGGCCTATTGCCAGCAACGTTTCTTTGTCTTTGCCCCAAGTACTGCTGGCTAGCGACTTGAGGACCTTGTTGCGGCTCTGTAATTTATTGACAATAGCGGTTGCGTGCACAGAGGAGAGCAGGCTGTCGAATGTTACTCCGAGTGTTTTGGGGTTATTCGCCATCGGAATTGCTTCACCATCGACGTGAATTCCCAGCGGTAGCCTAATCTCCTTCCTCCAGGTGGTGAACAAGGTCGGAGAGGATTTCGTAGGGGAGAGGGCCTAGACACTTTGCAGTGAAGAACGAGAAAGCTCGGAGAGATACCCGTTTACTTTCAAACACAAGTCATCAATTCCATTCCCAGTCGCCATGATCGAGCAATTGTCGGCGTAAGAGACAATCGAGACTCCCTCTGGTGGGTGAAGGAGCTTTGAAATATAAAAGTTGAACAGTAGCGGGGAAAGGACACCACCCTATGAACCCCCTGTTTTATTTTCCTGAGTTTACCCGATTTGTCTCTAAACATTACCGACGAGTGTCGACCACTCAGATAATTTGCCGACCACCGTTTGAGGGAGAGAGGAAGCCTCTTTATCTTCTAGTAGCGTGGAATCGCTGGCAGTGTCAAACGCCTTTGACAAGTCCAAGGCTGCTAGAATCATTCTCTCACAGGGACGGTTACGGTTAAGGCCAATAGTTATCTGAGTGTTTATGGCGTTAAGAGCTGTTGTTGTACTGCGCACTTTACGGAAACCATGCTGATGCTTCGCTGGGGTCAGGAGGTTCGTGAAATAACAGTTATGCCTCAAGTGTCATCGCTACCGGGGAGAGGAGTGTTATCGGCCGATACGAATCTCCTTTGTTGGCAGGTTTCCCCGGTTTGAGTAGTGGGACCACTCTCCCCACCTTCCAGATGTCTGGGATGATGAGAGTGGCCATTGACAAATTGAGGACCTCCGATAGGTACGCTACTCCCGCAGGACCCAAATTTTTCAGCATCAGCATGCATATTCCGTGGGGACCCATGGCTTTGGAGGCTTTCGCCTTCCCGATGATCACCTGAACTTCACCGCAAGTGAAAGCAAGGGGGCACAAGTTGTTGGCAGTTTGTTCAGCCTTCTGGTCACTCAACGCTTGGCTTTTTCCGCCGGGGGATGCAGTATGAACTGCCGGCTAAAATAGCTCGCGCATCGCTCCGGGTCCGACGAAGCATGATCGCCGAAAGATATTTCGACTCTGTCGTCGTGCTTCGTCGGATTGGATAGTGACCTCACGGTTGACCAAAGCTTACTCACACCAGAGGTGAAGTTGCAGGTCTTCAGATGCTCTTCCCGCTTCTTCCGCTTATGTACGTTCACTAGTTACCATATCTCCGCGTTAAGTTCCCTGATACGGGGATTTCCGGGATCGGCCTGACGAAGGCTATCACGCTCATCGCTTTCACCAAGGTGGACGTCGGTTGGTGTGGGGAGAGCAGCGAAGGTGTTTCCAGCAAATTCCGCGAAGCCTTTCCAATCAGCTTTAGAAAAGTTGATATAGGTCCGGTGTTCCGCGGAAGCAGTCGGTTGGTTTATCGATCGAGATGACTATGGGCAGATGGTCTGATGCTAGTCAGCATAGGTCGCCATGATATGCTGTTTATCAGACCAGCGCTGACTATTGTTATGTCTGGCGAGAGGCAGCAGCTGCCCATAATCCTGGTGGGTGCGTCGTCGTTCATTGTGCAGAATGNGGCTAAAATAGCTCGCGCATCGCTCCGGGTCCGACGAAGCATGATCGCCGAAAGATATTTCGACTCTGTCGTCGTGCTTCGTCGGATTGGATAGTGACCTCACGGTTGACCAAAGCTTACTCACACCAGAGGTGAAGTTGCAGGTCTTCAGATGCTCTTCCCGCTTCTTCCGCTTATGTACGTTCACTAGTTACCATATCTCCGCGTTAAGTTCCCTGATACGGGGATTTCCGGGATCGGCCTGACGAAGGCTATCACGCTCATCGCTTTCACCAAGGTGGACGTCGGTTGGTGTGGGGAGAGCAGCGAAGGTGTTTCCAGCAAATTCCGCGAAGCCTTTCCAATCAGCTTTAGAAAAGTTGATATAGGTCCGGTGTTCCGCGGAAGCAGTCGGTTGGTTTATCGATCGAGATGACTATGGGCAGATGGTCTGATGCTAGTCAGCATAGGTCGCCATGATATGCTGTTTATCAGACCAGCGCTGACTATTGTTATGTCTGGCGAGAGGCAGCAGCTGCCCATAATCCTGGTGGGTGCGTCGTCGTTCATTGTGCAGAATGGCGAATCGTCTATCTGCTCTGCCCTGTGGTGTTAGTGGGCGGCGTCGCAGTTAGGGATTGCGACCGAGCAGCACAATATGGACCCTCAAAGTCCCTCGTCCAATCTCGCGTGGTGCGCACTCCTGAGCATGCCCTAAAGTGACACCAGCCCAGGCAGGTGTTGCACTTGACCGATGTCACATTACGGAATATCCTAGACTTACACACCATGCAGATTGTCGGAGGAACTAGGAGTTGTTGGCGGTGGCGTGTGGGTGGTGGTGCAATTGTATCTGTAGTGTGGTCTGTTGTGTATGTGGTATTGTGTTTTGTATTGTGTTGTGGTGCGGTTGTTTGTGTTGAGTTGCTCAGGCGGACTCTGTTGTGCCGTGGAGACAGCTCCATTGGCGCAGCAAGGGGCCACGTAAGCAGTGGTCCATTGCCTGTGAGTCGTAAGGCCTGAGCAGACTCGGGAGACGGCTCCACCCATTGCACGTGTTGCATCTGACGGAGGTGGAGTTGTGGTGTAATCGTCTCTGGCACACGGAGCAGTATATGTTTCTGATCCAGGGTTTGACTCAATGCCAGCCCTGAGAAGAAGTACGCGAAGAAGATGCCCTATGGACGTACAACTTTTCGAGGGATTTCGCCGACCTAAACGGGGTTAGCTAGCCGAAACAACAGCCCTTAGTCGAGTAAAACCCGCGTCATTCCGGTACTTAGAACCGGCTGTCGTGGGAATGGTGATTGTGTTGTCCTGCGGTTGTATTTGCGTGAGTTGCTCAGGTGGACTCTGGTTTGTCGTTGAGGCAGCTCGACTTGAGCAGCAAGGGGCCACGAATGAGGTGGTCCACTGCCTGTGAGTCGTAAGGCCCGAGCAAACTCGGAGGTGACTCCATCCATGACAGGCGTGGAGTTATGGTGTAGTCGTGTCTGGCACACGCAGCAGGTGTAGTTTCTAGGGTTTGACTCGATTCAAGCCCTGAGCAGAGTATGCGAAGCAGATGTAGCCCTATGGACGTACAACTTTTGAGGGAGACAGCCAGCTGCTACATTATTGAAAAAATGCTTCGAAAATATATACATGAGTATTGTGAACTTTTGACAAAACAACTTATGATCTTAAATTGAAAAAATAATGAACTTTGTATGAATTTTTTAAATGGTATCTATGATGGTTTATAAGTTAAAATATTGTACTCGAATTTACTGCTTTAAAGAAAATATGATCAAACTTGAGAAAGTGTTTTATCAAATGACCACAAGTATAATTACCAACCTTATGCTTGGAATCGTTTAAAGAATTAATTATAATTTCAAATACGAGCGAATTAAGTAAAATTCCGAAAAACTTTCAAGTATCACATTTTTTAATCCAATACATATGCGCTAATCGTACAGTTAATTTCAATTGATGGAAGATAATCTACATAAATTGTCAGCATAAAAGTCGAGTTCCAGCTAAGAAATAATATTGAATATGCTAGGTGCATATTATGAATAGGATATTTTGTAAAAATGCATGAACGTTCTGAGTTTTTATCTCATTTCGTGTTTATTTTTTTCATTTTGCATTCAAACTTTTAAGTTGGGGAGAATGGATAACATTTCCTCATAAAACCTGCAGCTCTTTTCACATCCTATATAGAGTTTTCTTAATTTTAGTTTCATCACAATTTTTTATATACATACAAAATATGGAAGCCTACCGCACATCATTTATAAAATTTCACTATTAAATTCCTTAAATAAAACCATCAATCAAAAAAAAGAAGCTGGCATTTTTTCAGTTTCTACTTAAACGCCAATCATACTGCCAAAAAAGTTCACAATTATATAAAAAAACATACGTTAGTTTTACATACACATGGTTAACATAGTTTTCGTATTTAATCCAAATGTCTAAATAATATTTTAACTAGCTCAAAGATAAAATACCAGCACTTGCCTCAGAATATTTGAGACATCCAAGTTAAGTTTATGTGCATTATAGTATTTATATTCTTTCAATACTATTTTCTCAATATCATAGTATATATAAAATAAGAAAACACATTTCATCTAGACGTAAAATCCTTATCAAACCAATTGACAATGTCGACGTTATGTGGTCTCATAGCTTGTTAGGAGAGCTGCATCTACCGGCTCCATACAACTAGGACAAGTTAGACTGCGCATGAGCCAGTCATCGATACAATGCACATGATAAATATGCATGCATGGCAAATATCGCACCGCTTCCTCAACACAAAAATCAGCCATACAAATTACACATTCTCGTGTTTTTTTCGATCCATCGTATGCACCGATCGGCAGATGCTGAATTAAGCCTATGCGTTTCGCAAGTTTCACTTGTTCTTCCTCGGTTAGATGCGTCGCTGGACGTCTAACCGACGGAGAGGGAAAGAAAACAGGTTGCAGGAGTTCCTAAATGAATAAAATTACAACAAAATTTAATTATTTTCAAACATTCAGAAATTGTATAGCGAAATTAAGCTTTACGCGATTTTTAACAACAACGAACGAAATCATTAAACATAAATTTAAATAACTTACCGAATAAATTGGGAGAGGACCACTTTGATCGGCTGCGAAATCTTGAGTGTTAATACTTTCGCTCCCTCGCAGAAGTGAAATATCGTCCTGACTGTTTATTTTCAAGCAATTACCCATTTTATCGCATTAGTAGATATTCAAGTTTGGCATATATAAAAAGCTGTATATGGAAAAAATTATATTAAAATAGTATGAAAACATAAAAGCTAGCTACGAAAATTGTGAGATTTGATGTTCTGTATCGTTTAATGAAACGAGATCAAAAGATCTTTATATCGCAACAAAATATTCAAAAGAGTACATACATACATAATTATAACCAAAGCGACAAAAATTGCTTAAAACTAAATATGTCGCTTTATGAAATAGGCCCCTGGTCGTTTATTTATTTATTTACCAATTCATTTATTTATTTATTTGTGTAGAGACCAGCATTCGTTATAGTAGCTACAGTGTGAGAGACGATGATGAGTAACGAGCAGTTATTTAAAGCATAAACAGACGGCAGCGTTGATCCGGATCAACTCGGGATGGTTAGTTAGTTGGAGACAGAACGTGAACTTGTAAAGTCGCATTGACATATCAACTAATAAATATACATATATAGTAAAACACTGCATTACAGCATAAATATTATAATATTATTGAACCACTGGGGACGTTGTTGTTGTTGTAGTAGCGGCTACTAAGCCCCGCTACTTCCTACTGTGATACTTCCACAGGGTGTCAGCTGAGTGGGGCATTGGTTGGGCACATCCTCATTGATTCTGCTCAGGTAAGAGTTTAACCTGCTGCAATAGCCAGAGCGAAGTTGGGCTATTGTGGTGCGGGTCTCCCGAGGCAGACAAAGTTCTGTCCCGTCCACGTCCGGTGGTTGTGCGCCTAGAACGGCATTCACAGGTCGGGAGTCTACATAACTCGAGACTGATTCCCTGTGAATGCCGTTCAGGGCCTATCGGTAGGCTGACGGGTCCAGAGGTTGTTTAATGAACCTGAAGGGGGATTTTCGGGTTATTCGCCGTCGGTATTATTACGTTTTCAACGTGAATACCCAGTTGCATTCTGACCTCCTTCATCCTGGTGGTGAATACGATTGCCGAGGATTTCGCAGTCGATAGGGCAAGGCTCCTTGCAGTGAAGAAGCGAGAAAGTTCGGCGAGATAACCGGCGACGCCATGATCGAACAATCGTCAGCATAGGAGACAATATTGACAATATTCCCACGACTGCCGGTTCTACGTACCCGACTAAGGGCTGTTGTCTCGGCGATCTAACCCCGTTTAGGTCGGCGAAGTATCTCAGAAGTTGTACGTCCATAGGGCTACATTCGCTACGTATTCTTCTGCTCAGGGCTGGCATCGAGTCAAACCCAGGGCCAGAAACCAGTCTGCTCAGGATTACGGACACATCGGCAGTGGACCACGTCGTTTGAGGCCCCCTGCTGCTCAAATAGAGCAGCCTCCACGGCTAACCCCAGTCCACCTGAGCAGCTCCACACAAACACCACAGCACAACATAACAACACAATAGACCACACCACAACCACGACAGACCACAGAACACACACAACCGCACCACCACCCACACGCCGCCGCCAACAACTCTTGGTTCCACCTACAATCTGAACGGTATGTCAGACCAGGATATTCCGTAATGTGACATCAGTCAAGTGCAACACCTGCCTTGGCTGGTGCCACTTTAGAGCATGTTCAGGTCTGCGCACCACGCGAGATTGGACGAGGAACTTCGAGGGCCCGTGTTGCGCTGCACGGTCGCAAATCCCAACTGCGACGCCACCCACCACCACCACCACAGGGCGGCAACCACCACAGCAGCGCACATAGCCAATGGCACCAAGGCCACACACATCTCTCACACTCCGCATTACCACACGTCTCCCGAACCACATGAGGCTCCTTCAATTTAACTGTAACGGGCTTCAGAGCAAGATCGAGGAGATAACCGTCTTCCTGGGAAGGCATGGTATATTGATAGCTGCGGTCCAAGAGACGAAGTTGCACAGCAATTCAACTTGTTAAACTGTGCCGGGTACAACGTGCACCGTCGAGATCGCGAGCGAGATAATGGTGGGGGCTTAGGGTTCATCACGTACCACACCGTGCAGTATCGTCTTATCGAAGCAGACATCGACCGCAGGAATACCACCCTAGAATGTCAACCCATTGCTATCCGGTCAGGCGATGCTGAGCTCGAAATATTTAACGTGTACAAACCCCCTGTCACCTGCTGCATCACCCTGATATAGGTGCGCTCCTCAGAGGTGAAAACCGTATGGTAGTAGGTGACTTTAATGCGCACCACGATCTTTGGCACTCAGGCCTGTCAAACGATCATAGGGGAACAGACTTGGCTGAACAGATAGACGATTCGACATTCTGCACAACGAACGACGACGCACCCACCAGGATTATGGGCAGCTGCTGCAGCTCGCCAGACATAACAATAGTCAGCGCTGGTCTGATAAACCGGATATCATGGCGGCCTTTACTGAAAACACCTTCGCTGCTCTCCCCACACCAACCGAGTCCACTAGTGAACGTACATAAGCGGAAGAAGTGGGAAGAGCATCTGAAGACCTGTAACTTCACCTCTGGTGTGAGTAAGCTTTGGTCAACCGTGAGGTCACTGTCTACTGTCTAATCTGACGAAGCACGACGACAGAGTCGAAATTTCTTTCGGCGACCATGCTTCGTCGGACCCGGGGCGATGCGCGAGCTATTTTAGCCGGCAGTCCTCCTCCGGTGGACAAAGACAAGCGTCGAGTGACCAGAAGGCTGAACAAACTGCCAACAACTTGTGCCCCCCTTGCTTTCACTTGGAAGTTCAGGTGGCCATCGGGAAGGCGAAAGCCTCCAAAGCCATGGGTCTCGACGAAATATGCATGCTGATGCTGAAAAATTGGGATCCTGCGGGAGTAGCGTACCTAAGGGAGGTCCTCAATTTGTCAATGGCCGCTCTCATCATCCCAGATATCTCGAAGGTGGTGAGAGTAGTCCCACTGCTCAAACCGGGGAAACCAGCCAACAAAAGAGATTCGTATCGACCGACAACACTGCTTTCCCCGGTAACGAAGACACTTGAGGCCTTGCTGCTCCCGTATTTCACGAACCACCTAACCCCAGCGAAGCATCAGCATGGTTTCCGTAAAGTGCACAGTACAACAACAGTCCTTAACGCAATAAACACTCAGATAACTCGTGGCCTCAACCGTAACCGTCCCTGTGAGGGAACGATTCTAGTAGCGTTGGACTTGTCAAAGGCGTTTGACACTGTCAGCCATTCAACGCTACTAGAAGATATAGAGGCTTCCTCTCTCCCACAGAGGCTCAAACGGTGGTCGGCAAATTATCTGAGTGGTGACACACGTCGGTAATATTAAGAGACAAATCGAGCAAAGTCAGGAAAATAAAACAGGGGGTTCCACAAGGTGGTGTCCCACCAGAGGGAGTCTCGATTGTCTCTTACGCCGACGATTGCTCGATCACGGCGACTGGGAATGGAATTGATGACTTGTGTTCGAAGGTAAACGGGTATCTCTCCGAGCTTTCTCGTTCTTCACTGCAAACTGCCTAGCCCTCACCCATACGAAATCCTCTGCGACCTTGTTCACAACCTGGACGAAGGAGGTCAGGCTACCGCTGGGAATTCATGTCGATGATACACCAATTCCGACGGGATTAACCCCAAAATACTCGGAGTAACATTCGACAGTCTGCTCTCCTTCTCTGCGCACGCAACCGCTATTGTCAATAAAGTACAGAGCCGCAACAAGGTCCTCAAGTTGCTAGCCGGCAGTACTTGGGGCAAAGACAAAGGAACGTTGCTGGCAACATACAAGGCAATAGGCCGGCCGGTTTTAAACTACACAGCACCAGTGGGGTCACCGGGGACTAGCAGGATGCAGTGGATGAAGCTACAGACAACACAAAACACCGCACTTAGGACAGCGACTGGATGCCTCCTGATGTCGCCAGAACACCACCTTCATGACGAGGCGAAAATGCTCCCAGTCAAGGAGCATAACATAATGCTCTACAAGCAGTTTCTGGTTGGGAGCCACAGATGTGGCCACCTCTACGAACTGACGGACGAAGTCCAGAGGTTCATTAAGCAGCCTCTGGACCCGTCAGCATACCGACAGGCCCTGAAAGGCATTCACAGCGAGTCAGTCTCGAGTTATGTAGACTCCAGACTTGTGAATGCCGTTCTAGGCACACAACCACCGGACAGTGACGAGAAGGAGCTTCGTCTGTCTCGGGAGACAAGAACCACAATAGCCCAACTTCGCTCTGGCTACTNAGGCATTCACAGCGAGTCAGTCTCGAGTTATGTAGACTCCAGACTTGTGAATGCCGTTCTAGGCACACAACCACCGGACAGTGACGAGAAGGAGCTTCGTCTGTCTCGGGAGACAAGAACCACAATAGCCCAACTTCGCTCTGGCTACTGCAGCAGGTTAAACTCATACCTGAGTAGGCTAAATGCGGATGTGCCAAATGAGTGTCCGGCATGCGGAGACCCCTTACGACTCGAAACACCTCTTAGCATGCCCGGAAAACCCGGCATGTCCCTATGGACCGACCCAATGGAGGCTGCACGCCTCTTAGGGCTGCCGTTAGTGGAACTTGACGACAACGACTGAGATATCAACCGATCTGGGCGGGGTTGTTGTAGCCGCTACAACAACAACAAGAATATTGACACCCTCTGGTGGTTGAGGAAGCTTTGAAATGTAATAATTAAAAAGTAGTGGGGACAGGACACCACCCTGTGGTACCCCCTGTTTAATTTGACGTGGCTTGCTGGTTTTGTCTCCGAAAATTACTGACGAGTGTCGACCACTCAAGTAATTCGCCGACCACCGTTTGAGTGCCTGTGAGAGTGAGGAGGCCTCTATATCTTCTAGTAGCGTTGAATGACTGACAGTGTCGAACGCCTTGCGACAGGTCCAACGCTACTAGAATAATTCTCTCACAGGGGCGGTTTCGGTTTAGGCCACGAGTTATCTGAGTGCTTATGGCGTTAAGTGCTGTTGTTTTACTGTGCACTTTACGGAAACCATGCTGATGCTTCGCAGGGATCAGGTGGTTCGTGAAATACGGGAGCAGCAAGGCCTCTAGTGTATTCGCTACTGGGGAA